CTCCGGCGATCCTTCTGCCTCAGCCTTCCAAGTAGCTGGAACTACAGGCGCGGCTACCACACCTGACTGATTTTTTATTTATTGTAGAGATGAGGGCTCGCCTAGTTGCCCAGGCGGGTCTCGAGCCCACAGGCTCAGGCAATCCACTCACCTCAGCCTCCCAAAGGCGCGGGATGACAGGCAGAGCCACCGAGCCCAGCTAATAGTTGTATTCCTTAGAATAACATGTATAAAGTGCCTGGCACATAATAGGCAAAAAAAAAAAAAAAAAAAAAGGGGGTGGGGGGGGACTGTTTGGTGACATGTGAAAATTCTATGAGGTTCAAATGTCAGTACCCATAACAAGCAGGAGCCTTTGCTGCAGACTGCAGTTTCTACAGACCTGCAAGCTGAGATGAACAAGCATAGAGATGTAATGCCAGGCAGGGAACCTTATTTCAAAAGCCATCGATGGGGAAACAGCCAGGCGCATGCCCCCAAGTAAGCCATTTCAAAATCTTGGGCTGAGGCTGACGGGTTTTACAAGGAAAAGATGGAACGAGGGGCGTTCGGGGTGGGCAGGACACAGGGCTGGGTCTTGCTTCGGTGGTCATCCTGAATGACTGTCCTCCGGGAGAGCCGCCTCTCCGTTGCGGTCAGGCTTTGGATTAACCTTCGGGGAGTCTTCTGGGCCTTACTGTGGGGTCTTTAGGCACTGGGGACTTTTTTCTTGATTTGGAGTCTCACTCTGTCACCCTGTGATTAAAGTTGCCAGTACGTCCATGAACATACTAGAAAATAGTTCCATGTGTATACAGGGGATGCTAAGAAAATGTATACACATTTTGAGAGGTGTCATCTACTTATTACATTTCTTGAGTTACATTAGAGGAGCAATGTTCACTCAACCATGCTTCCGCCATTTTCTTTGACTGTCCTGCCCGTTGCATGGTGAACGTCATACTTAAAATGTGTATACAGTTGGGCATACACTGTATGACTGGAGCGAGTGGCTCACGCCTGTCATCCTAGCACTTTGGGAGGTCGAGGAGAAAGGATTGCCTGAGTCCAGGGGTTCGGGACCAGCCCGGGCAACTTGGCAAGACGTCGTCTCTACAATAAATAGAAAAATTAGCTGGGTGTCATGGCACACGTCTGTAGTTCCAGCTACTTGGAAGACTGGGGCGGAAGGATCCCCTGAGCCCAGCAGGTTGAGGCTGTGGTGCCTATGAGCATGCCACTGCACTCCAGCCTGGGCGACAGAGTGAGACTCTGACTCAAAAAAAAAAAAAAGAAATTATTAGTTAGGTTACACATTATTCAGGCTGTGCACAGCCCCTCCAACCCTGAGATGTCTGGTGGTCTCCAGAGGGCGCTGGCGCCAGACGGCATCAGGGAGTTGTGCCACCGGACACAGGTCTTCTCCCCAGCAGCCAGAAATGGAAAGAGGGAGGGGGCGTATTCCAAGGACAAAGCGACAAAAAGGAAGAAAACAGGAAAGTGCACATTTTAAAGCTCAAACATGTTTATCATGAGCAAGGTCTTATTATTTGTGAGGCAGAATTGTTTTCCCTTATGCCTGTGGACACACACACACACACAGTGCCAAAAAATGTGTACACATTTTTTTTTTGAGTCAGAGTCTCACTCTGCCTTTCACGCTGGAGGGCAGTGACATGCTCATGGCTACCTCAGCCTTCCAAGTAGCTGGAACCACAGGCATGCGCCACCACAACCTGCTAATTTTTCTTGCTTTATTGTAGGGACGAGGTCTCGTCAAGTTGCCCAGGCTGGTTTTGAGCCCCTGGGCTCAGGCAGTCCTCTCACCTCAGCCTCCCAAAGTGCTGGGATTGTAGGTGTGAGCCACTGCGCCTGGCCAGTAATTTCTTTTCTTTTTTTTTTTTTTTTGAGTTGGCGTCTCACTCTGTCGCTCAGACTGGAGTGCAG